TGTACCAAAATAATGGCTATTGGGGTGGCTTCAATTAACATAAAATCATATTCATACAAAAAATAAAATTATAAATTAACTTTGGTTGTCAGTTTAGTTCTAGAATCGGAACTGAACCAAAACTATAACCAAATGGTTTTTTGTTCGAAGAACTAAAACTATTAATTTTTTTTGTAGAACCGGATCGAACCGCTTGGTTTGGTTCGGTTCTAGTTTGATTTGGTTTGGTCCGAACATTTTGTCCACCCCTAGTAGTTCTCACGAAGAAATCTCTCTCACTAAAAAATCCTGGAACTTTGTGCTTCCAATTTTATTGACTACTGATGAGGAATTTGTCTAATTGAAATGAGAAAGTTCAAAAACTGTAATAGAATATTGCTATACTGATTCAGAGAGGCTGAAAAATCTACTTCTTATACTTATCTAATTTTTTGAAGCACATTATTTGGGCGACCATTTGTTTTGTATTTTTTAGCTACAAGCCTACAACTGCTAGGGGGAAGGAATGCTCAAGTCCTAAAGGGGTCATTTCTGAATAAAAATGTACTAAAGTGAATTGTTGCTTGATTATTCTCTTCAGTAGTGAGTTTCTTCAGTTTTTTGTGCATTAAATTCTCAGCATGTAAAAACAGTGTGCCCTCTTAATATAAACAAAATCTAGCTGTCATGCATTGTACTCTAATGTGATTGTGTTGTCAAGATACGATTTTTACCAACATTTCTAGATTAAGTTTTGGTTTTATACATCATCCTGTACATTATCAAATTTCACGTTTTTGGGTTTTAGGCTTGACCAATATGTTAGGGGATAACTTTATTCTTTGGGAAGAAGGAAAAAGCACAAATTGAAAAGACAAAAAGAAAAAGAAATAAAGAGAACTTAGAAGTCGAAGAAGCAAGAGGATACATCAATATCCTGTTTTCTTCACAAGATTTGTTCCAATTTTATACTAATTGATGATAAACATTTTTTTTCCCTCACCAAACAACTTTAACATGGAATCCATGCAGTAACGGGTGCCTCATGTGGCTATGGCTTTGTCGAATTTGAAACAGAGAGGGAGATGCATCGAGCATACAAGGTGATTTATTGTATAAAATATTAACAGCTGGACTGACTAATTTCTTCATGCCTTCTCTTTCTATTTTTCTTCTTATCAACTTTTCTGTTTCTTCTCTTCAGAATAGTGATTTGCTCCCTTATTTTAATTGTGCCAATCAGTCCTACTTACATTTTCTTGAGTTGTTAGCCTTTATTCTGAATTATGTATGCATTTTCCATATTATTTGAAGGATCTATAGTCCAACAATCGGCTGTATTCAGTTTCATCTGAGAACTAATTCACTTGAATAGTTCTCTTGTTTGAATTGTACCATTTATGATTTTTTTGACTGTTTATGAGTGCTTATATTGAAAGGCCAGGAACCTATTGCTTTTGTAAGCTTTAAATAGGTAATCAAGCTTTCACAAAAAATATTTTTTGTTGCCGAGAATCAAGGAACAACTAAATTAATTGAACTACATATCAACTATGCAAGAAAGGCTAGTTGGATGTATTCATGTAGCATTTAGCTCTTACTGAACATTAATTAATGTTATGAAGATTGTGATGTAACTGTTCTTGGAATTGTTCGGAGCTTTAATATTGCTATTTTAAATGGTCACTTGCTGCCTCAATTAAAGGATAAAAAAACTGCATTATACGGATATGTTAGAAATAGAGAAAGAGATAGCAAGAAAGAATTGATTTATCGAAGTTTAGAGATTGAAACAATGGTGTTTGGAATTATAGTTGTTGAAAATTGAATTAAGCCCCTGTTTGACACCCATTTTTTATCTCATTCTCATTTTTCTACAGTACTCGTTTCTAACCAC